ATATATATATTAGGGATGTCAAATCGGTCGATTTTTAATACTCGGTTACTCGGACGTTTTTCCGATCGAGTACCCGGGTACTCGGTAAAAGTGTTAATAAATATGAACAAGTAATTAACATTGATAACTGTAAAACATTGTAAACTCTTGTAGAAACTAGAGGTACTGTGAGCGATGAGCTCACTAATTGATACCCCCGCCTCCATATAGCTATAATGGCAAAGTCCATGTTTTGCTGTGGTCGTGAAACCCAAAATATGTGTCAGATCAAAACGTAAAATAGGAGGTGCACAATGGCAATATGTAATAAAGATTCTGTAAAAGTTTCATCAAATTTCATTCAGTGGTATGAGAGGAGTTGCGGATAAGAGACGGGTACCCCAAAGCGTAACAGACGGACGGACAGACAGACGGACAGGCGTAAAGACGGAGAGAATTAACGATTACTGTATACCCTCCCGCTTTTCAAGCGGGGGGTATAATAAAACCACATGCTCCGATGGGAGATTTACCCGTTAATCTGCAATCTCCTATGCAGAGTTGTCGTTCGTTCCTCTCTCAGACACCTCTGCAATGGGCTCACGTCAAGATTTTTGACGTAACGTATAAAACATGATATTTGAAGAATTGTTTCAATTTAAATTAATATATCTGGATTGATTTAGTAAATATCTATCTCAAAACTCAGACATAAGCATAGAAATTGAATTGTAATGAATTAAAACAAACGCACTATTTCTCGTGTTTAACACTGTGTATACGCGAGCCAACGACAGGGGTGAATGTATGAGCCGATGGTAGAGAGTGGTTAATCTGATGTAATAATTATGAGCACCTCATGCCCGACGAAATTTAATATAACATTTTTTAAAGAAAAATTTAGTTATCAGATAAACACAAGGATTAAAATCATAAATGGTTCACAGTTTTTTTAAAAATAATAATCTGCTCCGTAATTCTAATGTAACTCTTTGGTTGCGTTTGATTTCCATGTAATCAGTCGTCAGAGCTTCTCCTATCACAGAGCGGATTTCCGATCTTCCTACATGTTTTCGATCCTTTATTTTATAGTATTACGGAATGGTTTGTTGTAATTTGATGCAACGATGGACATCAGTTTTTTTTTTTTAAACCTTTGCCTTCAACCATTTGAATTAATGTAATGTATGTAATCAAACACAACCATATCAACAATGCATTTGCACGTGTAATATATCATCTGTCTCTTTTCCCGAGAATTTACTGCTTCTTGGAGAATTGACAAAATAATCTAATTTATTTAAACACAAAAGACCTTATTAAAACGATGTGCAGTGAAAACAAATCATTAAAGCAAACAAAAAATAAGGGTAGAAGACAGTCGAAGGTGAGAAAAGCCAGGTAGTAGGTGTTTGGTCATGATAATTACTGTATAAACACTGTCGCGGGCGATAACGGTCATTAAGAGGTGTAGAAAACCCTAATTACTGTATGTACAATTGCAATGAACATTTTACGTTTTAAAACCGATGTTTTAATGCATTAATAAATGAGCTTAGAAACATTCTAAAATATACATCCGAGTAACCGAGTACCGATTTTAGTATTCGATACTCGGACGTTCAATCGAGTACCCGGTTAACCGGGTACTCGTTGACATCCCTAATATATATATATATATATATATATATATATATATATATATATTCAAAAAAATATTTTTCCTTGGTATAGGGATAAAATAAAATCCAAATTCAAATGACAAACTCAAACTTTTATCTAAAGCGCTTTCGCCCCATGCGGGCTCATCAGTAGATTTGAAATTGTAAACAAGTTACATTGTGACGTCATTCTCGTGACGTTATGTAGGCAACGTTAAACATAATGATTGTGACGTAATTATAATCACAGTTAAATGAGGCGCACAGATAAAGTTTTACAGTTCATATGATCAAAGTTAAGCGCCTAATATAAATGTACAATAATGGAGACATTTTATATAAAATGTACATACATGTACTAAAATAATTTGATATAAATTCCTTTTAGCAGTTCAATTTTGGTTTAAACAGATTTTAAAAATATTGTTCTTTGGCTTTCCGTAATTGTTCATTTTCCTCTTTTATTTTGTAAAAAGGAAATATATAAAAATGTCCTTTGCCACAAGAATCAAAGTGTTCACTACATTGCGTGTTTCGTATGGTCGGATCTTTAATCTGTTGTTTGTGCACGCGAACACGATCGGCTAATTTGGTTCCGGTTTGTCCTATATAATTTTCCTCACATGTAGGACACGTCATACAGTATATAAGGTTTTTAGATTTACACGTCATAGAAGATTTAACGTCAAACTTCATTCCGTTTTTAAAAATAATGGTTTGGCCGGTTTTTAAAAATTGACAGGTTCCGCATCGTGGATCCTCGCACTTAGAAACCATCGGTTTCTCGGGGTTCGATGTAAATTTGGCAGTGGTGAGAATCTTTTTCAAATTGGGAGGTTGACGCCTGCTGTGTAGTATATCCTTTGGTTTAATAAGGTCCCTTAATGTTTCTGATTGTTGAATAATAGGGAAAAATTGTTTGGCAGTTTTAAAGATGTTGTGATTTCTTGGGTTGTGGGTTAGAACAAAAGGGATCTTTTCGTTGCTCTCCTCTTTGTGATGTCTAATAGTACGTAATTCGTTAACGGGTATTTCCTTTGCCTTTTGTATAGCAGCCTCAATTAATTTTGATGGATATTTTTGTCTAGAAAGAAAAATTCTTAGTTCACATAGTCTTGTATTTCTGCGATCCTCATCAATAACAATAGTACAAATTCGCCTGGCCATATTGAAAGGGATGTTTCTTTTAGTATGGGAGGGATGGCATGAGTTGAAAATCAAATATTGATGGGAGTCTGTGCTCTTGTAATAGAGATCCGTTATGATTTTTCTTCCCTCTTTTATCATAAGAATGTCTAAAAATGGCAATCTGTCTTCGCTGATTTCCATTGTAAAATGCATACTTTCATGGAGCCGATTTAGAATGCTGTTAAACTGTTGTAGATCTTCTAGAGATTTTGTCCAAAAAATAAAACAGTCATCTAAATAACGTTTCCAGTTTCTTTCAATGTATGTACCAAAATCCTCTCCAAAAAATGTTTTGCATTCTGAAAAAAGTTTTTCCTCCAGAAAACCTAGAACGAGAGTTGCGTAGGTAGGGGCGACTTTTGTCCCCATTGCTGTCCCTTTTGTTTGTAGATAGTACTTGTCATCAAAAAAGAAATGATTATTTTGCAAAACTATTTTAAGTCCTTCGAGTTTGAGTTTGTCATTTGAATTTGGATTTTATATATATATATATATATATATATATATATATATATATATATATATATATATATATATATATATATATATATATATATATATAGTATAGCATAGACATCGGAACCTAGGGACTATAGAGGTAGCTTAGCCCCCCCCCCTCAACATACACACACACACTTTTATTTTGCAAAGATATAAATTATATTGGCATTAAATATTGGGGCTTAATTTTTTTGCCCCCCCCCCCCTTTTTTTCAAAATGCGTTAAATTTCTCTGTGGTGAAAATGTTGATGTACAATCTTAACGCACTTTGAATTTTTTTTCAAAATGTGTTGAATTTGTCCCAGATTTAACGCACTTTGATTTTTTTTTAATCTCAAAGTGATTTGATTTTGCCACGGTCTCAGTTTTAACGCACTTTGAATTTTTTGTTTCAAACTTAGTATTTTTTTTCAAAGTGCGCTCCCACAAGGTTCTTACTTGTAGGAGTAGACTAATCTCATAAACCCAGTAAAAATACAAACTACAAACAGAGCAAACTAAATTATCCCCTTAAAACACCAGAGGAGGTGCCCAGGAAAAGCAACCATCCTTTTTCGACCAGTCACATCCGCTGTGAATTTTATATGCAGGTATTGATGGGTTAAAACTAGTAAAAGATATTTTTCCAAAATGCCTGGATACTTGTTCATGATGTAGTTTTATATTTTGATCCTATAATAAACTTACTGATCAATTTTCAACCAGAAAATGCAAAATTGGGGCTTTTATTTTTTTTTTTCTTGTTACAGATTTAACCATTTTACCAATATAATATGACAAACTTTACAGCCCTGTGATTAGGAGATAATAATGTTTTAGCTACTGACCATATACACATTTATACCTAAGTTGCTTTTGAACTTGCCAAAATAGCTTTCTTTGAGAAAATATATTCCCTGATCTGAAGTAATTTTATGTGAAGTACAAATGTTTCTCCATTAGGAAGATAACAGGTATATTAAATCCATCACCACTTTTATTGTAAACTAAATAATACACTCCAAATAATCTCCAATGACAATACAACTTGATATGTACTAAAATACAACAATTCACTGAATACCTGTACATGATACACACAAAACTAATACATAAATATATTAATTCTAACTTTAACATATAGTAAGTCATTTTTAAGGTCTGTACTTCATGACCTCTAGTGTAAACAATGTCTATATACAAGTCTCTGTATCCATACACAGGATAGTATTACTGTTTGTTAAAACAATTCATAGCACTGGTACTTCACCTGTATCCATAGCCAGGATACTATTGTTGTTAATTAAAACAATTCATAGCACTGGTACTCCGTCAAGTTTCACAGGAAAAAGAGACGGTCAGCCAACAGCTCGGACGGGTCCCTGTGGAGGGACTGACCGGTCAGGTAGGCCAATTTATGGGCGTACTGACAAGGCGCTGGAACCCGAATGGTTCCCTGAAATAAACAATGCATAGAGTATGAAAATATCAAGGGTCAGGTGGAAGTTGCTTAAAAAACTGATAGTGCAATTATCAGAATAAAAAAAGAAAGTTTGCCCTGTGCCTTTTAAAATCTGAACCCAATCTAAGAAGGCCATATCAGAAGCATAAACTTTTTCTTTAGTACCGGTAATCAAGTTCAAGTATATAAGATGTGTAAGACTTCTTTCCTCCTAGGGTACATATTATAAACTCACCGGCCAGTTGTAATACAAATGTGTCAATTTGTACGCCAATTGCTGCATGCGGTCTGGTGTGAGGAATTCACCGTTTTCATCCTCTACCACATTGTAATGTGTTGGAGTCACTGTTCCCTGTCTTACCGACTGTGACACACAAAAGAAGTCGTACCTAGCAAAGTCATGTACAAGGTTAACAGTATAGTGTATTTGGAAGTTTTCAACAGAATTGAGGACAAATCAATACGATCAAGTTTCATATGTGACTAATGTACTATCAAATGCTTAAAACACTTGATACATCTGAAAGAATACAAACATGTACAATAAAAGAAATCAGGGCACTTTATAGGAAAACAGTATTTGCATGACTTTATGCAAATATTGGTATACGTAAAACTCAATGAAATTTTTTTTTACAAAATCTGAAGTACACATCAACTACAATTCTTGTGGGAAAGCAGAAGGACAAAAGGTGTTGGTCTATTAAATTTCTGCATTTATTTGTACATATATAAGGTTATACTCACAAGACATTTGGTCTTGGTTTGGTGACGTTTGTATCCACAACTGTTCCAGGATTTGGGTTCTTTTTGGTTCCTCTCATGAAAAATCGAGTGTTTATCCTTTTTTTCACAACAATGATGGATAGCTTAGGCCTAAAATAATGGTGAAGAAAAAAATGACAAAAAATTAAGAAAAGAAATAAAAGTATGGTAATAATTTAATGGTGTGACCATTAGGGTGAGCGTAGAGTCAGAGTACTGTTTAAAAAACTGTATTTACACCCGTTTCTTCAAACCACGTGACATGTGGTACATGTATGTCTAATCTTAGACTGGTCACACAATCAGACAAGCAAGGCCAGTCTAACATCAGGGTTATGTAAGTTGTATTACCAAACAGAAGCCTTAACAGTGCTGATTTTAAAGATTTGAAGATTTTTAAGCAATGTATTTTTAAAATCAAGTTTATTTTTTGCCGTTACACCCTTGCACGAACGTACATGTAGCTTAATAAAGCAATGCATTGTAGGTCCAGAGTTACTGTGAAGAAAAATCAATTGAATATTAATGTAAAGTTGTCCGAATTTTCTCTTCACCCAGGTGTTGTTGTGAGAGTAAGAGGGACGAGCGACTCTGAGCACATTGACTAATCATAGACCTTAATATACATGTACTTATTTTTCATCTAAGTCACGAACTTCATGATTAAAATAACTTGATAATAACTTTTACCAATCATTACTTACTAATATATGATAATATGATCTCTGCTCCTGAATTACATGCCTACCTATCATCGGGCTGCACCAAATTCAGTCTGTCAAAGGCTGCCAGGAACTGGGGCTTCTCATGTTCAAGAACAGCCTGGATCTGTCCGTCACCCACACCATCACGATAAACAATCACCCGCCTAGGGAAGTAGCCATTTCTCTCATGGTACTTCTTCATTGCAGCTAAAAATGAATCACAGAATATTATTATTTAACAAACATGTTGACTAACGGCAACATATTTACTGAGAAATGTCATGTTTAGCTTGTAACTTTCAATCATATAGTCAAAGTGTATTCAAGAAATTAATGAGAAATAGAATGCCAAAGGTTTTATAGGTGGTTCAACTACCATTGGATGGCAAGTTATTGCTCTAAGGTACCCAGACAAAATGCCCCCAACCTCCTTACCAAAGATGCAGACGGTGATTCCATTCAGCAGTTCTTCCCCTGGGTGTTGTGCCAGAGTCTTGGAATAGTAGCAGTTGAAGCCAGGGTTGATGGAGCACACCACACCAGCATAGGACAGGTTTCTAGTCTTACTGTCATGATAGGTGTCTATCCCTACCAGCATCACTGCATGTCTAGACAGCTGAAGAAAATAGATGTTACTTTATAAATTACACTTCAGTGAATAACAATACACATTTTCTCAGCAGAATTCTGAAAGCATTAGAAAACTGCATGGGAACTAGACTGCTCTAAAACTTCTATAGAGCAATACCAAGATAATACATAGCACATAAATCTAAATTTAGTGTTATAAATTTGTACTGCTCATGCAGTCTCCTATCTGTACATACAGGGTTGGCGACTTCCCAGGGGAACCCCCCTAGTTTACAGTTGATCTGGATGGCTATTTTGGTAGCTACTGACATCAGGGTTTTATGATTACTGATCGTTTTCTTTACCACACACTGACTGGGAACTGAAAGGCAAATCAAAATCATACAACAGCTTGCTCAAGGGGTTAAAAATGTTGGTACCCAAAAGTCTTGTCATAAGAAATACATGTGAAATATTAAAGCCCAAGTGCTCCAACAAATCAAACATTATGGGCAAGGTTAAAGTTTTTGTGAACAAACAGTCAGAGAGATGAAAAGCTATACTCCAAACTCTTTATAAAAATATTCTTATTTTTAAAATATATTTTTTCTACAGCTTAAGAACAATAAGGAGAGCTTACAAGTAAATTACTTCTTCTCAGTATAAGTGATTTCTGTCCTAGGTAAGCTGTACCATTACCTGGGTGAGTGACACAGCAGACTGACTTTATATGGTCGTAGCGTGACTTCTGATAGTTGGGGAGGATACACATCACTAACTGGGTACTGGGATTGACCGTCTGCTTTAGCATCTTGTCATAAGTGCCAATGTTATCATTCGTCATCTGAGGTCTAGACAAAATAAACATAATGCATTCACAGGTGGTAAATTACACACTTTTACAGAGTTGTGGAAAACTGCCGGTCATGCCGGCAAAACCGACAAAAAATTTGCATGACCGATAAAAATGCTATCAATGTCGGCCCAAATGACTGGCTTCTTTTTTGGTTAAAGTTTTCTTTGTTTGTCCATTTATCATCTGTGCATTTTCCACCTTAATTATCGTACCTTATATGCGATTGCATAATACCTTTTCTTTTAACGAGATCAAGGCTGTAAATGAATGAGAAACTACCATGGTTCTCGTGACCTATTAAATTTAAAACTGCCGAACTGGGACAGAATTAAGTAGAAAACATATTAAAGGAAAAAACATAAAGATGAGCTATCGGTAAATATGAAAAATTTCAACAGAAAGAATTCATGCACAGGTGGGGAAAACAGTAAATCTAGTACAATGTACTTCTGACTGTCCCAGATTTTCGTTTTTTCACCGATCATGTTGATATCTTTATTATCGATGCAAGGAATTTTTGCAATTTTTAGACCCATTTTCTAGGTTAATATAATTCCAAAATGCATAAATGTTTACTAAAATTATGTTCACTACGCTGAATTAGTATTGTCACCTGCCCAAAAGCGGTGGTATCAAGTAATGTTATAAATGCAAAATTAAATGAAAACGGAAGATGACTTGGAAATGGAGACTGAATTTTGTATTATTTTTAACATGATTTATTAAGTAGATGTGTTATAAAGTGAATAAAAATAATTGTTTTTTTTTTTTTATTTTGCGACTTACTATTTCGGACCGACAAAAATCACTTCAGAACGGCTAATTTTGTTTCCTTGCCAGTCCGAATGACTGGCTATCTGAAAAAGTTTTCCACAACTCTGCTTTTAAAGTGAATTGAAAGGGCGCCATTATTGTCCTCGACGATGAGATATCTTATTTTTTGCCTTTTCTTTTGGTTATATTCTCATTATAACAATGATTTGTCTACTGAAAATATAACAGTTTACCACAGAGCCTCTATTTTCAATGCATTTTTATTATTTTAAATTTTATATGAAAGAGTGTTAACACAAGAAAGGAAGTAATTTTTATTCAGCCAAAATGTGAAAGTTGGTTAACTTTTATAAAAGAAAAAAGTGTCTGTGTGCTGGATAAGAGAGGAAACAGAAATAAGGGTGCACTATTGTATAAAAATTAACAATTAAGAGGAAACTTTGAAAATCTTAATTTCCTTACTGGTAAACATTTACATTTCCAACGTCTTTGTCAAAGATAAAATTACAAAGTTTAAGAAAAACTTTTTTCTACATGAATTTACTGTTTCATCCTTAGATGCATCAGTTAAAAAAAATCACTACTGGGTCAGGACAAATTTAGACAGAAGCGGGACTTGTAGCAAGTGAATTGCAGAACCAGGTGCATGTAAATATAAGGAATAACTGTAAGATTTTTTGGTTTCATGAAAATGGTCAATCAGTTGGCTTGTGTGATAATTTTATAATGCAAAAACGCTGAAGGCGTTTATGCAAATTGTATCACAAAAGTCATTGACATGTATCATTGAAACCAAAAAATTAGAAAGTTATTCCTTATATATTATTATTTCAGATATGACTTACAATATATCGTACACAGGATGATTTTTCACCACCTGTTATTTTTGCCTTATCACACTTGTAAGCCATTTCCTCCATTTTAAATTCACCCAGTCACAAATGTATTTTAGAAATTGTATGGTTTTCTTTGAATTTGACCCATATTTAATTCCCCAACCAAAGAGTAGAGCAAAATTGGAGCAAAACTAAAATAGAGGTGACCGTGAAAATTACTTGTATAATTGATAATAGCAATGTCTTTCCTAATTTTATGACATCCAAAGTACTTAGAGACACAGAAAAATAGCAATCAAATGTTTTTGATTTTGTGCATATTGGACAAGTGGTCATGAAAATTTTATTCCTCACCTTGCATTCACACCTGTCTATTACACCAAAAGTTTATACTTATCATGTGCAATATACTCTAGAGCTGGCCAGATCAATACACAGAATAACTATATAAATGTCTTTTTGACAGGCTTCCAGTTTTGAAAATTTTTACAATTTTTTTTTAAGTTAATTCTTATTAGAAGTTGTACTGAAAAACACAACTTCTTGATATAAATTTCTTCTGGTATTCTTCCTTATACTTACAACATAGGATAATCTATCTGTATCCCCATTTTATGAGCTACATTCTGTAGCTGACTGATAAAGTTGCCTGTAACATTAGAACAATAGCTGGGACAGAGAAGCACCCAGCTCGACAGCTTGACAGGAAGTGACAGATGCATGTTGTGCATCTCTCTTCCCCATGCAGCATCCTCCATTTTGAACTTTAAATCTACTTCCTGCAACAAGAAAAATTCATCATATTACACATGTTATTGATGTTTTATGTAATTACTTCAAATGTTTCAATGTGAGAATCATTCAAATCTGTTTATGATGCCATAAAGGATGAAATCTTGATAGATGTTAATTACCATTTTGCGGGAATCTCTGACTTTTACACTCTCTCTGGCGAGGATCCTTCCTTTGACAGTCAACATGTCAGTAGAGAATGACAAGCCCTCCATCTCTCTCTGGAAGTGAGGGTTACTGGAAATACAGAAAAATAATATTCTTTACCAAAAGTGCTTTTTCTTCTTTTTTTTTGTTTTTTTGAAAAATACCCCTGTATAGTACTATAATTATACTGTATACAGGGTTATTTATGCCCCATGTCATTTCGCCCTTTCACACTTGCGGACAATTTAAACCCCTTTTATATTTGCCCTTTTATAATTTTATTTAAGTTATTATACTATTTCTTTAAATTTGCCCCGTTTTAAACACCCAATTTTATGTTAACGCCCCCAAAATCTACCTGATTCAAGATCAATAAATTACCGCCTGTCAATCATTAAAAAAACAATAGCTTCTGATTTGATTGACAGACCAGCTACCCGTGCTACCTGATAGTCTGAGTTTGTGTCCTCTGAAAACGATTGCCTGGTCACGCGTCAAACACTTTCATGTAGCCGCCTTGTATACACGGGGGTTAAAATATCTTGGTAAAAATTTTATTTTAAAAACAATTGAGAGTAGATAAATAAAACATGACTTCATAAAATATAAAATTTTGCTTTTAATCTCAACGGCTATATTGTATTTTAGGCGGTATGTCGTCCAAGATATCTGCTGTAGAATTTAGACCAGTCTGCACAGAAACGCTATTTGCCGATTAAAATTGGAATATGATAAATAGGAAAAGATATTTAGCACAAACGGCACGGATAAAAAATTCCTTTATCCGATCTTTTACCTACTTATATATGAATACAATCTATACCATGTTCCGTTGTAAAGTTCTGAAATGTCAGAAACAGCTGTCCGAGTTTCGAGATTGCAACTTTTAGTTCGAATTTCCTAACATCTGTCAGTACCAAATACTCGAAATTTAAAATGAATATATACAGCCAAAGATCAATTCTTAAAAGTATAAAAAAAAAAAAAAATCTTGCAAACAATGATAAATTTTAAACATACGAACACCTGCAAATGGTGAATATTTTCGACTCAATTGTTGGTCAGAACGTAGGCAATATTCCTATCGCGGTACGTACGGTACATTGTGTATGTTCACACTACGGATAGGCCTACCTATGAATGGAATATTTTATTACATTTTTTTAAATTTGACATTTACGCAAGTTTAATTTAAAAAAGATATGTTAACTTTGTAGTTTTACTCTGTGTTCTCTTTAATTTGCCATTTTTTAAAATATAAAAACGATATTTCTTTATAATTTTTTTCTTCATTAGATATCGCTGAAAGTATTTATAAATAAATTTTATATTGAAATGTTACAATTATTTCAAGTAGTTTCACTCAAATTTAGACAAGAAACACGGAATGTTGACCCTGATCACCAGACACAGACTTCCTGTGTAATGCTACGTGTATATAGATTTTTGACATCTTGGGTATTGGGGGTCTCCAGGTAAATAACACCACTGTTACTTGGACCACTCCCCCTCCTCAGGTAACCGTACGGTAAAAAAATTGGGTCTTTAAATTCACCCTAATTAGGGTAAGGCAAAAGGGGCGAAAATAAAACGGAAGTGAAAATTTCTCTGTACACAGTACCTCTTGTCATCATACGCTAGTATAACATTTTATGTTTGCAAAGAGTAACCCCCCCAAAACACCAAATGATTGCATTCTTTCCTTATGTTTTTAATTGAGGTCTTTCCTTTGCAAATTATAACAATTTAAAATTTTAGAATGCTTGGCTCTGCATGAGTATTAAAATCAATTTTATTACTGTAATAGAAGATGTATTAGAAGTCCAAAATAAGATTTTGATTAAAAAAGGGACCTTTTCCTGACAAACCTGTTAATTCTGTTGACAAACTGCTGAAGACTGGCTGCTCTATTATATGCTTCCACGCGAGTTGTTTCAGCGATGTCCCTCATGACACGAAAATCTGAGCGTTGTTGAGCTGTTAGCCCTACAAATAGGAATTTAAAGTCTCATTTATAAGCTCAGAACAACCAGAAATGAAAATAGATTTTATGCCAAGTTTCTGAGAGGTAGGTACTTCATGTTTAGAACTACCACTGAGTATACTCACCAGTGAGATGACACAGCTGAGGAATCAGGTATACAAACTCAGGGCGGCCCGGTCGTCTCTCTCGCCTCGGAACGCGATGTAGAATCAATGGCTGTACCGCTACATCAGTAAGATTTATGTTGTATTGCTAGGTAAAGAATAATCTAACATTTCATCTCTCAACAATGGCTTTACATTCCAACATCAGGACCTATACTTCATGATATTTTTGGACAGAGCTATTTCATTTTTGTATCTTTCTCTGATTACATTAAGCACTCAGGTACATGTATAAGACTAACCTGTTTGTAATAGTCAATGTAGGTCATGCTTGTTCCGTCAGCCCTGGGAAATGAATCGGTGGGATGCTTGGAAAAGTCAACATCAGCGATTTTATAAGTTCTGTTGTTGTACCTAATGATAGAGGAAAACTTATACTTCAGATCATGAGAGTCAAAAATGTTTCTAAAATAAATCCATCAAAAATTTTATAAAATTCGATTTTTTCCACTAGGTAAATATCTTCATATTGTTAACTACCTCGTTATGACAGTACATCCCACATATCTAGCTCTAATCTGCATCTTATGATCTTCTTCATCCCTAGCTAAGCCATAGACTTCCTGGAAGAGAGTCCACATTGTGTCGTCTCGTAGAATTTTGTGGCTTATGTCGGCACAAAGGAGCATTCCACTCTCGTAATTAGCAATGCTTGTTACATAGCCAGGATAAATGGATAAACTGTCAAGAAATAAAATAGGCTATGGAACTGCTTGATATCATTTGTGTCTGAAAACCAACTGCTTTAAGAATTATAAACAACCAAAATAGATAAAACCAAATTTTTATATTTTTTAATTTCAAACATCATTTTACTAGGAGACAACCAGATAATTTGGAGAGTGTTTTTTTTCAGTCTAGGAATTTAGGGCAAGTCTTGGATGCTATTTTCTGTGTGTAAGAACTTACGGTTGATGCAGGTAATTATTTACAACCTCTGGACTTATGTCAAAGTAATTAATTCCTGAATGTTAGACTTGCTGGTGATCAGGGTAAACAAGAACTTACTGGTGGTCAAGGCATTTCTTTACGACTTCTGGACTCAAGTCATAGTAATTTCTGTCTGTTATAACTTACCGGTGATCAGGGTATTTCTTTACAACCTCTGGACTCATGTCATAGTAATTCCTGTACGTAAGAACTTACCGGTGATCAGGGTATTTCTTTACCACTTCTGGACTCATGTCATAGTAATTTCTACCAATGAATGTCATCCCCAGTAGATTTTCCAAAATTCTGCAACAAGAGGATCAAGTTAAGTTTCTATACTAAACTTTCTATAAATTTATTGTGCAATAAAGTATTATTTGATTTTAGTAACTACTATAATTTTAACAATACATGTATCATATTTTTGTGAGATACACTGAAGGTTTCTAATAATTATAAACAAGGCACAATTTTCAAGAATTTTGGTTTTTGGTGAATAAAATTTGTACATTTACACTGTCAATGTACTGTAAATCACTATTTATTCGCAAGCACTTTATTTTCGCGTAATTACGCGAGAGTGCTCGCGAAAATTTAATTCTCGCGTATAATAGCATTCCTTATGATTATATAGAGCAATAACCACAATTCGTGAAAATTTTGTCTCGCTAATCAAGAGTCAATGACTATCTCGCGAAAATAAGGTGTCGCGAAAATTAAGTGATCTACAGTATGCAATAACGAAAAATTTGTGATCAGACAGTCCTGGTCTAAAACAGGTGAAGGTAATGAACTACAGCACTGCTAATGGTAGAATAAGTCTCACCTTCCTAGCAGGACACAGTACAACTTCTCGGTCTCTGGGTCAGCACCGGACATCTCTCTGGTCTCTCTGATGGTCACTCTGATTGGTGAGTTATCGACTGGTGACCCCACAGTGACCTCTGTGACCTGAAATAGCAAACAAAAACAGTAAAAGTATTACATCTGCCTTTGTATTCTAATTAATAAGTATTTTCTGCAGAAAGCAGCTTATTCTAAATCAAATACGTCAATGAATGTCTTATTTATATGCTGTATACACCAGGTTATTTTTACCATCTTATTACCACTATTTTGCATTTGCAAATTTTGTTCTGTTTTAAATTTGCCTATTTTCTGATTAGGGCAAAAAAGAAAAGCAAAAATAAAATGGGGGCAAAAATGACCCTGTAAACAGTATCTTCATAAAAAGCAAATTCAGAAAATGCTAAATCAAATGAACACAAACTAATTGTTCAAAAATCAGCTTTTGCCAAATGTTGAACATATTGTACACAGACCAAACAAAAATATATTTATAGTGTACCTTATCTGGCATTCTTTGAGGCAGGTAAAGTATTCCTCCATCAAAGATAGTGGTTTTCTTCCTAAACTGTGGAAGTTGATGAAACACCTTCTTCTTCATTCTTGTGGAGTCCAGAGGTGGGCTGAAGTCTATGTGGTACTGGTAATAGATCCAGTTCTTACTCTCCGTAAGGCGGAAATAATTAGCCATCAGCTCAACAGGCTGTCCTGAGTGACCTAAAAAGCCAACAGAAATAAAATAGGAAACTGAAAGCAAGATCTCAGTAAGACACAAGACACTAATTGGTTTGCTTGTAACTACCAGTACATTCACCTCTAATACCGTATATCCGTTTTTTTTGTGTGTGTGTTGGAAATTTTGCGAAAAAGGGGTAGATTAGTATAGTTTTTATTCTGTTTTAAGATTAATAATTTTTTAGATTCAAATGATGTTTTTATGTCACATTATAGCTGACGTAATTTCTGCATGCTTTATATTTTTCCAATTAAAAATGGTCGCAAAAAATGCCAAAAAATAGATCATCGCAAAAAAAAAAAAGATGTACGGTAGAAGGCAAGTGTACAGGTGGAATGTTTTTCTTGTTCTTCGTGCAAAAGAACACATTAAGATTCCCTAAACACTAGTGTTGGCAAATCGGACGATTTTTAGTAACCGGTTACTCGCTTCATCTTCCGATCGAGTACCCGGTTACTCGGATGATTTTTGGTAAAAGTATCAATATCTATTATTTATCTTATTCTATACTTATCGGTAGTAGTAATGCACAAATATACTGTATAGGGACATTATATTTACAATAAACACATACGATATCGTCAAAGATTTACGATTTTAAAATAAAGAAAATTCATAGGGAATTCGACACAAAGACTAAGAAATACGTCATCGTCAATCACCATTTTACACTTTCTTTTTCAGCCCCCGAAATCACGGAAAATAATTATTTACATACTCCATAATTAATAATTAATATGTGGAGTATCCAGTAAATTGCTGGTTTCCAAATAATTTAAGCTTGGGTGATTTAACAGATTTTGAATCAACTGTTCTTTTGTTAGAACTCCAAGCTTATTATGTCTGCGGCGACATCTCGTTAAATTATCAAATCAGGTAATTATAACGCAGGCCTTCAAAATATGTATACCCCAAGCAATCAAAGCTATCAATTATATAAACTGTGAAATCTAATCAAAACAATTTGATTCACTACAACCATGCATTAGATCAAGTCTAACGGTACCTATTATAAAATTAATGTGTAAGTTAGTATACATTTATAAATTATAAAACATTCATTTTCTATGCCTTTACTATGTAGAATTTATTTTATCCGAGTAACCGAATAGCAGTTTTACTAACCGATACTCGCAACGTTCGACGGTTAACCGGTTAACCGGGTACTCGTTGCCAACACTACTAAACACCTATAATTACAAGGTAAGAACCTTTACATAACCGGACAAAAATGTGCCTAACTGCCTATACTTATTCTTATCACCCACCAACTGATCTCTGAATCTGCAGATTTCCAATTCCTCTTCTCGCATCTTCTAGCTGGGCTTGGGCACCTCTGAGAACCTGATTAGGTCCAGCTTGGGCACCTCTGAGAACCTGATTAGGTCCAGCTTGGGCACCTCTGAGAACCTGATTAGGTCCAGCTTGGGCACCTCTCAAGGAACGCTCAGGACCAGCTTGGGCACCTTCATCCTAAAAGAAGTGGCTCAAATAAAAAATTATTTAAGGGTTTCCCATTTGAAAAGTTTTTTGTTCACACTGAGTCATCTTGAAACTCCTGTAGTATTTATAAATAATTGTCCATACAAATAAACTTTTGGGCCTCTACAATATGGTCACCTGGCCTGCTCACTTACCTGTACTCGGGGCTGTTGGGCCTGTGTGCTCTGTTCACCTGGCCTCCAAATTTCATCATCTTCTGCTTTTCTTGCTCTCCCTCTAGCACGCGCTCTCCCTCTTCCTGTCATTTTAATTGTTTCACTTCAAAACTGAAAATTATAAGACAATTAAATAGATTTTGTGGATATATCTAAAACTTGTCTAGATGGAGTCTTGATGCTACTTGAAATTGTCTCAATAAATTAATTAAGAAACAGCTTAAAACACATGCTATTTATTGGTTAACAGGTCCATCACAATCCCTTAATTAAGCTATATAGCTTGAAATAGTTTTTTGGTCACATTATTTTCCGTAAAAAGTCTCACCTTGGTGCAGTATAATTCAACCTTGAACCCTTTTGAAAACATTGCATGAAAATTTATACACCAAGTTGTGACTTCTTGAAAGACTTTGCTTTCTAAAAGTTTTCAGGCTATATTAAGCGATTGATTGCTGACCACACAGGTACTTCTTAAATTAAATCAATCAATTCAATTTATTTATGTATTGACATAGTACCATTCATTGGCATATAGTCATCTGGAGTCATAATGTTATCCATTCTGCATCTACACTATACCTCAGGATGCTTCCATATACCATATATACTCACCTATAAGTCAGTATTTTGGGAGTTAAATTTTAGTGCAACAGTCTATGTCCGACTTATAGGTGAGTAATAAAAAGACAGGTATTTTCTGGATGGTGAATCATAGTACATTGTATTCTATAAACATTTTCAACAGCTATCATTGAACAAAGTATGGATACATTATTTTATTTATGTATTATGAATTTATACATAAATTACATGTAATTTTATTTTATTTTTAATCTTTTGAGGGCAGTATTTATATTTTTATGATTTAAAGTTAAATATCTACCGGTACTTCATTTCTTAAAATATCAATTGAAATCAGGGTAAAACATCCGAGCATTTATTAGAACTTGTCAACTGATTCTGGCATAAAATTGTACCAACTTATAATTGGCTCAATGGCAAATCATTGCCAAATAACCTAAAAAAAAAAAACAACCAACTTATAGGCGGACTGATCGACTTATAGGTGAATATATACAATGTACGGTAACCAATCATCACTTTGCTGTTCTTGAAAAGATTTTTCCTGTATTGCTATGTTAAACTTTAATGGAACATTGTGGCTACACCCTACCCCCAGGGTCATGATCTAAACAAACTTGAATCTACACTACCTAAGGATGCTTCCATATTAATATGGCCAATCATGACTTTGCTGTTCTTGAGAAGAAGATTTCTGAAGATTTTTCCTATATATTCCTATGTAAAACTTTGATTGTCTATTGATGCCCCCCCCCCCCCCCCCCCCGGTCATGATTTAAATATATCATTACGTTTCATCTTTCCTGGCCCAGTGGTTCTGAGATGATTTTCAAAAGATGCCATTAAATTTTTCACTAGTTTCTAACTGTCTCCCCTTGGAAAGGAATTTGGCCCTCTATTTTTATAATCATGAGTCCCCTTCACCTAGGGATACTTCAGCAAGTTTGGTTGAAATTAGTCAAGTTATTCTAATGAGAAGAAGCTGAAAATGTGTGAAAGGTTTACAGATGGACAGACTGACAGATGGAACTCACTTGAGTCCTCAACTCAGGTGAGCTAAAAAATGAAAAAAATATCCAAGTAAGCATGTCAGAGTTGTTGTCAGATGGTTTTCTTTCTTAGTATCAAGCAGTTGATTATAAAGGAGGTCAGTTATGGTCAATGAGATATTAAAGCACAATGTAAATCAATCATACTTAGTCCAACTGTCTCAGCGCACATAGAGCAGACCAACTATTATCCATTTATTGTACATGTACAGGCAGTTACTCAAAAAAATTGAAAATCATATTAATCATTCAGGGGTGTGACTGAAATCCATCATTTTTAAAAATGATGGATAATGGTCATTTCTTCTAAGTATATAGATGTACATGATCTTCTGATTTTTGTAAAATTGACTTCTTTTGATCATATTTCCATTCCCAAGTCAATTTTTCCAACCCATTTACTACAGTAATTAAATATAGTACACTATACTGCCATAGACCCTTGTGTAGAGAAACATCTTGACAAGTAATTGAAACCAAAATAATTTAGCGCGCCGTAAAACTAACGAGATAATTAAGTGCGCCCAGACCTAACAATTTGATAAAAAAATGATGAAATACAGTCATTTTTAATATCAGAGGTAACTCTATTTCTAAAATAAATTTCAAGATAGAAATGACTGTTTTTCATCATTTTTCTAAAAAAAAAAATGAATTTCCATCATTATTAAAAATCAATTTAATGACTAGAATCATCATTTTTAAAAATTATGGATTTATGTTCAAAGTCAATTTAAAATAAATATATACTTACGGTTTTTTAATTGTCAATTTCTTTTTTGGAAAATAAAACACAAATACATAGCTTTATTAATCTATTTTGAATAGCTAAATTAAGCTCCGTTGCTATTTCAAGCTCTTGCTAGATAGTCCAACCACAGGCTCTTGTTTCGGGAATAAATTTTAACCCATAGTATATTAACATATGGTATAATAATCAGTCCAATCAAGAGTTTGCGCTAGACATGTGTGGCGGTCAGCCAGGTTCGATCGCCGGTGGCCAGATAGCTCAGTTGGTAGAGCACCTGACCGGAGTTTCAGGGGGCCCGGGTTCGAATCCCGGTCTGGTCCGCTGCATTTTCTCCTCTCCCGTTACATTTGGTGCCGTGCCATGCCCTGTGTAATATTCTTCCACTGAATATGATAAATAAGAAGTTCCACGTTTTGATATATATATTTATTAAAGCATGTGTCTACAGTGACGGTCGAACTACAACTGATTAATTTCCCTAGTGCTACAGTGATATACAGTATAATGAGTATTAACATGCGGGCTTAATGTACAGCTGCATAAACAAATGCATCCTGTGAAACTGTCTGTGTGGCCAGATTCTCACGATCAGTTCATTCAGCAAATTAAAGATAAACATATCAGAAACAGTTAGGAATGCTGATACCTGACACCTCCCCTCTTAGATAAACAACTATCAAGAACAATTATTATCATTACTCAGAACTTTTAACTGAACTGTTGAATGCAGATATTGTTTGTTTTTTTTTTTTTAATTATAATGTCTAAAATATCAAATTGTCACCATCAATTGTACAATACTTTTTAATTTTAGAGGATTATTATGCCTCTTTACACTTATAACACAATTAGCACTGAAAGTCTTTCAGATATGCAGGTTTATTCCTGGATCTAATCGGATATCGGCGCTCTTGAATTTCTGCGTTTTGAGTTACGTTCGGCTCGCGTTCTTTAGCTTGTAGGGTGTCATTTGGTCCAATTTCAGGTGTGACCTCTGGCTGTGCCTTGATTTTCGGTAAGAATATCTCGAGCTCGGTCTCAGAGATGTCCTTAGTTTCTCTTTTTAGGATATGATCTATGTGTCTCCGAACAATACAGTCGTTGTTGAGTTTGATTCTGTAGGATAACGGTCCTGTGATTTCAACTACGCTGCCCTGTATCCAAGGATCGCCTTTGCGGAAGTTTTTTACAAAAACTTTTTCATTGATCTCGAATTTTCTTTTGTTTGGTATGCATATCATGATAGTTTTTCTGCTTGATTTGTTTTTCTTGAACTTTGCTTGCTATGTCTGGCATTACTAAATTTAATCTCGATCGTAATTTTCTGTTCATAAGCATTTCGGATGGTGTTAGCCCTGTCGTTGACTGTGGTGTAATTCGGTAGTTAAACAGAAATTTATGAACTCTCTCCTGGATGGTTCCTCCTGTAATCTTCTTGATGGCGGTCTTAAAGGTCTGAACTGCCCGTTCTGCACATCCATTGCTTGAGGGGTGATAAGGTGACGTTTTAATGTGCCGAATTCCATTTTTGGCAATGAACTTTTCAAATTCTTTACTTGTAAATGATGGTCCGTTGTCGGAAACGATAACTTCGGGTAATCCATGAGTTGCAAATACGCTCCGCAATTTGTCTATTGTTGTGCGGGTAGTGATGTTTTTCATCACGATGACCTCGAGCCACTTTGAGTACGCATCCATTATAACAAAATACATATTATCCATAAATGGTCCTGCAAAATCTATGTGTAGCCTTGACCAAGGCTTACTCGGATATTCCCAAGGATGTAATGGTGCTAGAGCGGGGTTTTTCATGTTGACTTGACAGTCCTCACATTCCCTAACACAGCGTTCTAATTCACTGTCCATGTTAGGCCACCACACGTAGCTCCTGGCCAAACTTTTCATTCTGGTAATTCCAGGATGTCCCTCATGTAATTCATCTATCATGCATTTTCTGCCTGGACTCGGAACGACCACTCTATTGCCCCATAATATGCAACCGTCGTTGCTGCTCAATTCAGTCCGACGTTCAAAATAAGGTTTACATTCTTCTTCCGGACATTTATCAGGCCAGCCGTTGAGAATGAAATGAAGTACCTTTGATAGTACATGGTCCCTCCGTGTCCATAGTCTGATGTCCTTACACGTCACGGGTAGCTCATCAATGTGATTTAGGATCATGCTTGTGTCCAACGGCATAGGGGTGTCTGTTTCCTTGGTTTTTAAGGGAAGTCGGCTCAATCCATCGGCATTTCCATGATTTCGTCCCTCTTTGTACACAATACGGTATTCATAAGCTGCTAATGTTAAAGCCCAGCGTTGAATTCTTGAAGCAGCCATTGATGGTATTTGCTTGTCCTCACTAAACAACCCAATGAGCGGTTTGTGATCTGTCACGATTGTCACCGGTCGCCCAAACAAATACTGATGGAATTTCTTTATGCCAAATATGATTGACAAACTTTCCTTCTCCAATTGAGAATAATTTCTCTCGGCCGCTGTCAAGGTACGTGACGCATAGGAAATGGGACGCTCGCTTCCATCCTCCATTTGATGAGATAGGACTGCTCCTATCCCGTACGGCGATGCATCACATGCAAGTAACAATTTTTTGCATGGATCATAATGCACTAACACTTTGTCAGATTGCAGTAAGTCCTTCGATTTTTGAAATGCATCCTCTTGCTCCTTACCCCACATCCACTTTTGATTTTTCTGCAACAGTTTGTGCAAAGGATTCAACGTTGTCGCTAAATCGGGTAGAAACCGATTGTAGTAGTTAAGCATTCCGAGATACGCTTTCAGCTCGATAACTTTAGTCGGATTTGGTGCATTCTTAATTGCTGTCACCTTCTCCGCTACGGGGTAGATTCCTTGCTTGTTTATCTTGTACCCAAGATACACAACTTCAGGTGCCATGAATACGCACTTACGTCGCTTGAGTCGAACTCCGGCATCCTGAATTCGTTTTAGAACTTCCTCCAGATTTTCCAAATGTTCCTTAGCTGTACGACCTGTGACTAGTATGTCATCGACACGTATCAACACATTCGGAATTCCTTGAAGCAGATTCTCCAGTGTCCGCTGGAAAATCCCTGGACTTGATGACACTCCATATGGAAGGCGATTATACTGATATAATCCTTTATGGGTGTTCACTGTCACATATTTCTTAGATTCATCTTCCAGGAGAAGCTGATTATACGCTTGATTCATGTCAAGCTTGGTAAATTCCTCGCCACCTCCCAAGGTTGCATATAAATCCTCCGTTTTTGGAATCGGATAGTTATCCAGTTTTGATACGGCATTAACGGTAACTTTGTAATCTCCACAGATTCGTATGGATCCATCTCCCTTCACTACTGGAACTATGGGAGCCGCCCATTCCGAAAATTTCACTGGCTCTATTATGCCGCTCTTATGTAAACGGTCCAGTTCCTGCTCAACTTTTTCCTTAATTGCATATGGTACCGGTCTGGCTTTGTAGTATCTAGGCTGTGCTGCTTGATCAACGTAGATTTTAGCCTTCATTCCTTTCACTGCTCCTAATTCGTCTCGGAAAACATCCTCAAATTTGTCTAGTGTTTTCTTGAGTCCCTCGCTTTTGTTGAATTCCGATATGGAAAATATCTCGCTCCAATCCAGTTGAAACTCTCCCAACCAGTCACGTCCCATAAGACTCGGTCCCCGGTTTCTAACTACAGTGATTGGTATGTTTACTGATTTTGACTTGTACTCTACCTTAACTCTGCAAGTCCCTAATATCGGAATCTCATCTCCAGTGTAAGTTTTCAGCTTCGCTTTCGATTCCTGTAAATCTGGCTTACCAATAGCTTTGTACGTCTCCTCACTTATGATAGACACCGAAGCTCCAGTATCTATTTCCATTTATGTCGGGCATCCATTAATTTTCACAGAAACTCTGTACGGCTTGATACTCATGTTGTTTTCCATATGAAACATGTCATATGCGCAATCACTGTCGGAATCGTTGCTTGATTCGGCATACTGGTCAACGAAATGTGTCTTACCGCTTTTTGGTTTTGCTGTGAATTTCCTCCCAGAATCACTGTGTGACCTACACTTTCTCGCAATGTGGCCTTTTTTCTTGCACTTATGACACTTGGAATCCTTAAATCTACACTGTGATGGTGCATGGCTCTCGCCGCAACGATAGCAGTCCTTGTTCTCCAGAACAGGGAATTTCCGGGCATGTTTTCCGACTTTGTTGATGGCTGACGCAGGGGCACTAGCTTGGATATCCTTGGCGTTTCGAACAGCCGTTTCCATAGCTGTGGCGATCTCCAGGGCTTCCTTGAAATTAAGCTTGGTTTCGCTTAACAGCCGCCTCTGGATCCTGTCGTCGTTTATCCCCACCACCAGTCTGTCCCGCAGCATTGTCTCCAGTGTTTCCCCGAACTTACAATGCTCGGACAAGCTCCTCAGTTCAGCTACGTACTCTCTGACCGACTCGTCCTGTTTCCTCACACGACTATTGAACTTAAAGCGTGAAATAATTTCTGATGGGTCAGGGTGTTTATGATCCTTGATCATTTTCACTATGTCCAAATACCCCTTTTCACTAGGTTTGGTTGGCGCCAATAAATCTCTCACCAGTTTGTATGTATTTTTCCCCATAACACTAAGTAAAATATCCCGTTGTTTGCCTGCGTCCGTTATCTCGTTGGCATTAAAATAACTTTCTAGTCTCTCTATGTATTGAATCCAGTCTTCACTTTCATCATATGAGGTTAATTTTCCGTAAGTAGGCATGGTGAAAGTCACTTATCAATTCCCAAGAGTTAATAGCAAATATTAAAGTTTATCCTCGTCGCCAAATGTAATATTCTTCCACTGAATATGATAAATAAGAAGTTCCACGTTTTGATATATATATTTATTAAAGCATGTGTCTACAGTGACGGTCGAACTACAACTGATTAATTTCCCTAGTGCTACAGTGATATACAGTATAATGAGTATTAACATGCGGGCTTAATGTACAGCTGCATAAACAAATGCATCCTGTGAAACTGTCTGTGTGGCCAGATTCTCACGATCAGTTCATTCAGCAAATTAAAGATAAACATATCAGAAACAGTTAGGAATGCTGATACCTGACACCCTGGAATTGACAGGTGAAAGACCTGCCAGGGATGAGCCTGGGTTGGGGTCTTTGGAGGGCCAAAGACCTTTAAGGAGGGAGGAATGTGGCGGTCAGCCGGGTTCGATCGCCGGTGGCCAGATAGCTCAGTTGGTAGAGCACCTGACCGGAGTTTCAGGGGGCCCGGGTTCGAATCCCGGTCTGGTCCGCTGCATTTTCTCCTCTCCCGTTACACATGTTTACATCTCATCAGAGACATATAATATCAATCATGTACCTACGTAATTATGTCTCTGATGTAATCGATAACCATAAAAAATCAAATAAAACATGTTAGTTTTGTTACAGATATTTTTAATCTCTTTACTTTTAAGCACAGGCTTAGCGAGGTTTGTTAGTCTATATACACAATTATCCTACTGTCCTAGGAACATTATCTACCTATGATGTGACCACCTGTCCTACAATCAATTAATGTCCATAATAATGTCCAGCCGGAAATTAATAAATTTATGACCATGCATGCACCGCGTACATATGTGCTCCAAACTTAATATTTGACCACCCAATACTATAATTACATTGTGCATTTTAATCTACTGCTCTGTTATTCATGGTTTTAAAAGAAAAAAAATGACATTTACACCTACCTCTTTGGGCCGTTAGTTTTTCATGGCGATGACAGACAAAGGAGGGAAAACCAAAACGAGTGGTGAAAGGAAAATGATTAATACAAAATGGCGGGCGGTTAAATCAGACATTCCATGTGGCCAACAACTGGCCAAGGTTTCAAAAGGTCGAATCTATTTCGAGAGGATAAACACAAACACTGGGAGCTTGTATACTGCATATACTGAACGCGGGAATACAGATGTAGCTGTATAAAGTTTTTTTTTAAAATACTAGATAAACACCTGTAAACACCTGTTATTTTTAAACCTTGATTTACCTTAATTTGTGGTGTCATTGGTCTTATAGGTTTCTGACATCAGTTAATCCATCTTAAATTCTTCGGTCTCATATCCTGCTTAGAAATGTTGACTGAAGCGAATCGATCCAACCATATAATAACATGTCATGAATTAAAAATGTCTTACCTATAGCTGAAGCAGAACGTAATATCATCATGATATTCTGTACTAAATGAATAAAACATTTATTCATTAATTTCATTCATCACATAGGGTCGAAAGAATATATTCTTATTGGATATATGTATGTATGCGAGTTCTTTTTTGAACAGTGCATGATTCAAGTGTGAAAGGAGTTGCATGTATATCTTCCTTAAATTTGATGTACTATTCCTATGCAGTAAACGTTAAATTCTAATATTTAATGTAACTGAATAGTAACCATTGAACTGAATTTTGAAAAACTACATTTTCGATCTCTGACAGGAATATTTCCATAATATTCAGTGACGTAGTATCGTTTTTGAAAGGGGGGCAGCCAGCGAATTTTTTTTTTAGTTACCTGAAAAAAGTTGACAAGCAAAAAAAAAAAAAATTGCCCAAACTCGACAATCCTTCTTCGCGGGGGCTGGGAGTGAAGGTAAACTTTTTCCAACACCAAACTTCTTTTAGTGTCAAATTTTCTTCAAACAATAATTAACTAACTAGAATTAACTGTCCAATAGGGACAAATACACCCCGCTGGGTTTTCCAGAAAAGGCGCCAAATTCAAAAATATTTTATGGCTCTAGAGGTGTTCATAATTTACTTACAAAAATTTGCAGTGAAATATGATTGCTCTTCATGTTTCTTAATGAATGAAACAAATTAAGGTGCAACCAAATGAAACATCAATACTAATACATTGTAATTCCATTGTAACATTTTTTTTTTAATTTTATTTGTTTATTTCTACATTAAAAAATATATTGCAATTATGTGTTATGACACTCTGCAAACTAATTGTTGAAAAAAAAATCATATTATACAAAATCAAATTAATCTTGATAACTTTATAGCAAATTCATTTTGAAAATAAAGAGCTGGTCATCCATGCAGTAATGAAGTGCTTTGACAGACAATAATTTACAATTAAGAGAATCTTTAATTCTTGTGCCCGATTCCCAGGAAATAACACATGGTTGATAATGTAATGAGATGCCTTAATATTCAATTTCCCACACCAAACTCATTAATTTATCTTTAACTTGATGCATGTCCAGTCATTATTCCCAAGAGACAAATGAAATTACATTATCTTTTGTGCAATGTAAAAACTATTTTTAACACTTGATGAAATGATGTTTCTTTTTTTAAAGATTTTATGAGTGGTTTTAAGCTGTAGTTCACATTTTTGTACAGATATTCTCATATATGAGCCCAAAATGAACAAGTCAATTAAAACTAGAACTGTCCAATAGGGACGAATATCCCCGCTGGTTTTTTTCAGAGTAGGTGCCAATTCAGAAATATTTTATGGTGTTCACTATTGTCTAATAAAGTACAACGCCACAGCATGATACGCCCGTCAAATATTGTTCAATAATAATCATAAATTGGCTAGGGTGCAAAAAATCAAGTATTAAACCTTGATTAACAGATTGACACAGATTTCAATGATCTAATTTCCATTTCTTATCATGTTTAAAATATTGTACATACATCTCTAAAAGACTTACAGTGTAGGTATTACTGTATACAGGGTTACTGTATACAGGGTAATTTTCGCAAACAATCTTGCCCTGTTTTAAATTTGTCCAATTATAGTTTTATTTAAGAAATTATGCTTTATTCTTGAATTTTTGAATTCGCCCCGTTTACAATTCGCCCAAATGAGAGTAAGGCGAAAGGGCAAAAATAAAACACGGGCGAAATTTTCCCTGTATACAGTAATTAAAACGAACTAGAGGTACTGTGAGCGATGAGCTCACTAAATGATACCCCCCGCCTCCCATATGGTTATAACTGGTGAAAAAGTCCATGTTTTCCTGTGGCCGGGAAACCCAAAATATGTGTCGAATCAAAAAGTAAAATAGGAGGTGCACAATGGCAATATGTAATGAAGATTCTGTGAAAGTTTCATCAAATTTCATTCAGTGGTATGAGAGGAGTTGCGGATAAGAGATGGGTACCCCAAAGCGTAACAGACGGACGGACGGACGGACGGACGGACGGACGGACGGACGGACGTACAGACGGACGGACGGAATTAACGATTACTATATACCCTCCCGCTTTTCAAGCGGGGGGTATAATAATACATCATATAATTCTAAACTGGCTGTGTTAGCAGTGGCGTAGCATCGTTTTTGGAAGTGGGGGGGCCAGGCAGAGAAAAAAAAAAAATTTTACTTACCTGAAAAAGTTGACAAGCAAAAAAAAAAAAAAAGGGAAAAGTTGCCCAAAGTCGAAAACCCTATTTCGTGGGTGGGGGGGGGGGGGGGGGTAGGTAAACTTTTTCTCAGTGTCAAATACTTTTAGTACCAGTTCTTATACTACATTTTTGGTACATTTCTAAAAGTGGTGGGGCCAACCAGGCTTTCAATTAACATTTCCTATAGTGTAAGTTAGGTTGGGAAAAAAAGGGGGGGCTTGGCCCCCCTGGCCCCTCCGGATACTACGCCCCTGGTTAGAGCTTAACAAATATCCATCTGCAGCTTTAAGTTGTTTATTGCATATTTTATGATATAATGGAAATGCTTCAGTCTAATGAAAAAAAATCAAAAATTAATTATTCTTTAGATTATAAAATTCTAAGTGAGACATGACTGCAATTTGTTGCAAATATATAAAAATTGAAATGTAATTTTTTTTTCAATGAACACATGTATAAT